AACAGAATGAATTGATAAGTAAATAACTTATTATTGCAGTAAGATATGACATTAGAATAAGTGGTTGTTTGTGCAGATATAGTTTTGGGTGATGCTATGAAAGTCTCAATTAAGTGCAAAAGATAATCAATATGTATGAGGTGTATATACATAGTGAAGATAAAACGAGTCTGATAAGTTGAATTCAACGTAACACAAGTTATTATCTCAATCCAAAGCTTCGTAATCTTAAGAATAATATTTATTTAGAAGGAAAAAAAGAGAGAGAAAAGAAATGAACACATAGTGAAATGGTCCAACCATGATCGTAATAGTGTAATGGATATAGACTTTTTAGATGAACGAATAATTTTAAAATAATAGTAACAACAATACTAAACCCTTACGGATAAATACGTGTAGATTTATGTAACAGTATACAGAGTGAAACCGGGTATTAGTATAAACATTAGTGCAATAATAATAATTTAGAATGATGCTGTCATAGTCACAATTATACGCAAGGAATAATTAAATATAAATTTCTATACGTTATAAATATGTTGTGAAGATTTTTAAAAAAATTATTTGTTTAAGTGTAACATAGGGTTTTTTGTTTTAATTGTAAACTTTGGATGTTTAGGAATAAAATATGTTTAGAAGGACAAGAAGAGATGGAAAGAATACCTAATGTGTTGAGAGACCAATAATGATAATAATAACAGTAACAATTATAAATACGAACATAAACAGACTTTGTATATTAAGATAAATATAAAATAAAGTGAAATAGACGTGAAAAGTTTCAAAGGTTTCACTTTGCTTTTCAGTCAAATAGATAGATGACGGACCTTTTTTGTATAAATCATTGTTAAGCACGTTGATATTCAGTAGGTGACACAATCCACTTTCGAAAAAAAAATCATTGAAGAACTTTCGGAACCGGGTTATAGTTTCACTGCAACGTAAGTTCTCCTGTAGTCTGTCCCACATGGTTGAGTAGCGAATAACAATAAAATTCAGGCGTAAATTTGTGTGAGTTTTTAGAATCGCTAGAATATTTTCCTTATTGCGTAGATTGTGGGACGGTATCATAGAGTATGAAGGGGTAGATAGCGAAGAGTAAGAAATACCGTTAAGAAGCCGGTAGAGAAAGATAAGGTTTAATTTGATACGCCTGACCCAGAGAAGTTCTAGTTTGAATTGTTGACATCTTTGGTGATAGTCTTTGTTGTCAGAATACCCCAAAACAGTTTTGGTGAACCTTCATTGAACACCTTCAATTTTAATCAGGTCATTACGCCTGCAATTACTGTAAACTAAAATAACATATTCAAGAATTGGTAAGATACACTTTCTGTATAATAATAATCTCCATTAGGTATTATTGAAATTAATCATTATGAATCCGATGAGCTTTCTAGCTTTGGATACTTGAGATGCAATGTGTTCAGAAAAGTTCAATCTGTCGCTATATCTTATACCCAAGTCACGAACTGTGTTAAAAGGTTTCAGTGCATGTTTGTGTACAGCCAGATTTAAGTTAAGGCAACGGCCAGTGTTAATAAATCCACTTTTGTCAACATTAAGTGGCAAATTCCACGAAATAGTCCATTTGTACAACTTGTTTATTTCTTGTTGGATTACCGTTGAAATATAGCTTTCTTTTGTGGGAGATGAGAGTGAATAAACCACTTTTAAATCATAGGCGGAAGGGAAAGGCTGACCATATTGAAAGAGAGAACATACGTCATTGATAAAAAGGAGAGGGAGTAGTGGTTCAATCACGCTTCCTTGTACAACCCCACTGGTTACATTCACAGATTTGGAGTAGCAAGATCCAAAGCGGACGATTCGGCTGCATTCTTCTAAAAAAGATTTGAGCCAAGATAAGAGGGGATTCCGTATGCTAAATGAAGAGAATTTTAGAAGTTTGTGTGAGATACTGTCGAAAGCCTTACTAAAGTCGAAGTAGAGAATTATCACAGACTGACCAACATTTTCAAGCGGCCTGCTTGAATACCTAGGCTACCTGTTTCTGCCATCTAAATATTTCAACAAGTTATCCGAGTGTTTTTTAATTTGTTTTAACCTATCATTATGTCTATTAATCGCATAACCTACACAGGCGCGTTTATAAATGCTTACGTCCTTTCGCTGCAAAAATTACAAACAAGCACAATAAGAGACATCGTGGTGGTTGGCAATATGCTTTAAAGAGAATAAACATCAATCAAATGTCGATTCCCGAGCTGCTTAACTTTAACTGTCGATCACTAATTAACAAGGTGGACTATCTCCAATTTCTGCTAAGTCAAAACATGTATCGTAATTGTGGTGTCATCACAATTCAAGAATCTTGGTTAACTGACTTATAGGATGATTGCTTAGTGTCATTACGTGATTTTAATATCTATCGTCAGGATCGATCAAACAATAAAAAGA